TTCTGTACACATGACCTCTCCCTGTGTGTATCCCATTGCTCATTCTGTATTCATGACCTCTCCCTGTGTTAATCCTATTGATCATTCTGTACTCATGACCTCTCCCTTTGTCTATGCCATTGTTCATTCTGTACACATGACCTCTGTCTGTGCGTGTCCCATTGTTCATTCTGTACACACGACCTCTCTCTGTGTCTATTCCATTGCTCCTTCTGTAACCTGACCTCTATCTGTGTGTATCCCATTACCAATTCTTTGCTCATGACCTCACTCTGTGTGTATCCTACTACCCATTCTGTACTCATGACCTCTCTCTGCGTGTATCCTATTATCCATTATGTACTCATGACCACTCTCTGCTTGTAACCTATTTCTCATTCTGTAGTCAGGACCTCTCCATGTGTCTATTCCATTGCTCATTCTGTACTCATGACCTCTCCCTGTGTGTATCCCATTACCCATTCTGTACTCATGACCTCATCCTGTCTGTATCCCCTTACTCATTCTGTACTCATGACCTCTCCCTGTTTGTATCCCATTGAGCATTCTGTACTCATGACCTCTCCCTGTTTGTATCCCATTGCTCATTCTGTAGTGATGACCTATCCTTCTTTGTATCCCATTACCAATTCTGTACTCATGACCTCTCCCTGTTTGTATCCCATTGCTCATTCTGTACGCATGACCTCTCCCTGTGTGTATCCCATTACTCATTCTGTACTCATGACCTCTCCCTGTGTGTATCCGATTACTCATTCTGTACTCGTGACCTCTCCCTGTGTGTATCCCATTACTCATTCTGTACTCATGACCTCTCCCTGTTTGTATCCCATTGTTCATTCTGTACTCATGACCTCTCTCTGTATGTATCCAATTATCCACTCTGTACGCATGACCTCTCTCTGCGTGTTACCTATTACTCATTCAGTACACATGACCTCTCATTGTGTCTATTCAATTGCTCATTCTGTACTCATGACCTCTTTCTGCGTGTATCCTATTACCAATTATGTACTTATGACCTATCCCTGTGTGTAACCTATTACTCATTCAGTACACATGACCTCTCCCTGTGTGTATCCCATTACTCATTCTGTACTCATGACCTCTCTCTGTTTCTTTCCCATTGCTCATTCTTTACTCATGACCTCTCCCCGTGTGTATCCCATTGCTCATTCTGTACTCATGACCTCTCCCTGTGTGTATCCCATTGCTTATTCTGTACTCATTATCTCTCCCTGTTTGTATCCCATTGCTCATTCTGTAGTCATTACCTCTCCCTGTGTGTATCACATTGCTCATTCTGTACTCATGACCTCTCCCTGTGCGTATCCCATTTCCCATTCTGTACTCATGACCTCTCTCTGTTTGTATCCCATTGCTCATTCTGTAGTCATGACCTCTCCCTTTGTGTATCCCATTACCAATTCTCTACCCATGACCTCTCCCTGTGTGTATCCTATTGGCAATTCTGTACTCATGACCCCTCTCTGCGTGTATCCCATTACCCATTATGTACTCATGACGTCTCCCTGTGTGTAACCTATTACTCATTCTGTACATATGACCTCTCCATGTGTCTAATCCATTGCTCATTCTGAACTCATGACCTCTCCCTGTGTGTATCCCATTACCCATTCTGTACTCATGACCTCTCTCTGCGTGTATCCTATTACCCATTATGTACTCATGACCTATCTTGTGTGTAACCTATTACTTATTCATTACACATGACCTGTCCCCGTGTCTATCCCATTACCCATTTTCTACTCATGACCTCTCTCTGTGTGTATCCCATTACTCATTCTGTACTCATGACCTCTCTCTGTTTGTATCCCATTGCTCATTCTGTACGCATGACCTCTCCCTGTGTGTATCCCATTGCTCATTCTGTACACATGACCTCTCCCTGTGTCTATTCCATTACTCATTCTGTACTCATGACCTCTCTCTGTTTGTATCCCATTGCTCATTCTGTACTAATGACCTCTCTCTGTGTGTATCCCATTGCTCATTCTGTACTCATGACCTCTCCCTGTGTCAATCCTATTGCTCATTCTGTACACATGACCTCTCTCTGTGTGTATCCCATTGCTCATTCTGCACATGTGACCGCTCCCTGTGTTTATCCCATTGCTCATTCTGTACTCATGACTTCTCTCTGCGTGTATCCTATCACCAATTATGTGCTCATGACCTTTCGCTGTGTGTAACCTATTACCCATTCTGTATGAATGACCTCTCTCTGTGTGTTTATCCTATTACCCATGATGTACTCATGACCTTTCCATGTGTGTAACCTATTACTTATTCAGTACACATAAGCTCTTCCTGTGTGTATCCCATTACTCATTCTGAACTCGTGAACTCTCCCTGTGTATATCCCATTGCTCATTCTGTACACAATCACCTCTCCCTTTGTGTATCCTATTGCTCATTCTGTACTCATGACCTGTCCCTGTGTGTATCTCATTGCTCATTATGTAGTCAGGACCTTTCTGTGTGTGTATCCCATTACCAATTCTGTACTCATGACCTCTCTCTGCGTGTATCCTATTACCCATTGTGTACTCATGACCTCTCCCTGTGTGTATCCCATTGCTCATTCTGTAGTCAGGACCTTTCTGTGTGTGTGTATCCAATAACCAATTCTGTACTCATGACCACTCTCTGCGTGTATCCTATTACCCATTATGTACCCATGACCTATCCCTGTGTGTAACCTATTACTCATTTAGTTCAGATGACCTCTCGATGTGTCTATTCCATTGCTCATTCTGTACTCATGACCTCTCCCTGTGTGTATCCCATTACCCATTCTGTGCTCATGACCTCTCTCTGCGTGTATCCTATAACCCATTATGTACTCATGACCTATCCCTGTGTCTATTCCATTGCTCATTCTGTACTCATGACCTCTCCCTGTGTGTATCCCATTACCCATTCTGTGCTCATGACCTCTCTCTGCGTGTATCCTATTACCCATTATGTACTCATGACCTCTCTCTGTGTTTATCTTCTCACCTATTATGTACTTATGACCTCTCCCTGTGTGTAACCTATTACTCATTCAGTACACATGACCTCTCTCTGTGTCTATCCCATTACCCATTCTGTACTCATGACCTCTCTCTCTGTGTATCCCATTACTCATTCTGTACTCATGACCTCTCCCTGTGTGTATCCCATTGCTTATTCTGTACTAATGACCTCTCTCTGTGTGTATCCCATTGCTCATTCTGTACTAATGACCTCTCCCTGTGTCAATCCTATTGCTCATTCTGTACACATGACCTCTCTCTCTGTGTATCCCATTGCTCATTCTGCACATGTGACCGCTCCCTGTGTTTATTCCATTGCTCATTCTGTACTCATGACTTCTCTCTGCGTGTATCCTAGCACCAATTATGTGCTCATGACCTTTCGCTGTGTGTAACCTATTACCCATTCTGCACGAATGACCTCTCTCTGTGTGTTTATCATATTACTCATTATGTACTCATGACCTTTCCATGTGTGTAACCTATTACTCATTCAGTACACATAAGCTCTTCCTGTGTGTATCCCATTACTCATTCTGTACTCATGATCTCTCCCTGAGTCTATCCTATTAACCATTCAGTACACATGACCTCTCCCTGTGTGTAACCTATTACTCATTCAGTACACATGACCGCTCTCTGTGTATCCTATTACCAAGTATGTACTCATGACCTCTCTCTGTGTGTAACCTATTACCAATTCTGTACGCATGACCTCTCTCTGTGTTTATCCTATTACCCATTATGTACTCCTGACCTCTCCATGTGTGTAACCTATTACTCATTCAGTACACATGACCTCTCCCTGTGTGTAACCTATTACTCATTCAGTACACATGACCGCTCTCTGTGTATCTTATTACCAATTATGTACTCATGACCTCTCTCTGTGTGTAACCTATTACCCATTCTGTACGCATGACCTCTCTCTTTGTGTAACCTATTACTCATTCAGTACACATGACCTCTCCCTGTGTGTAACCTATTACCCATTCAGTACACATGACAGCTCTCTGTGTATCCTATTACCAATTATGTACTCATGACCTCTCTCTGTGTGTAACCTATTACCCATTCTGTACGCATGACCTCTCTCTGTGTTTATCCTATTACCCATTATGTACTCATGACCTCTCTCTGTGTGTATCCTTTTACCAATTCAGTACACATGACCTCTCCCAGTGTGTAACCTATTACTCATTCAGTACACATGACCGCTCTCTGTGTATCCTATTACCAATTATGTACTCATTAACCTCTCTATGTGTGTAACCTATTACCCATTCTGTACGCGTGACCTCTCTCTGTGTTTATCCTATTACCCATTATGTACTCATGACCTCTCCATGTGTGTAACCTATTACTCAATTAGTACACATGACCTCTCCCTGTGTGTATCGCATTACCTATTCTGTACGCATGACCTCTCTCTGTGTCTATCCTATTACCCATTATGTACTCATGACCTCACCCTGTGTGTAACCTGATCTCTCCCTGTGTGTATCCCCTTACCCATTCTGTACTCATGACCTCTCCCTGCGTGTATCCTATTACCCATTATGTACTCATGACCTATCCCTGTGTGTAACCTATTACTTATTCAGTACACATGACCTCTCCCTGTGTGTATCCCATTACCCATTCTGTATGCATGACCTCTCTCTGTGTGTATCCCATTGCTCCTTCTGTACACATGACCCCTCCCTGTGTTTATCCCATTACCCATTATGTACTCATGACCTCTCTGTGTGCCTATCCTATTACCCATTCAGTACACATGACCTCTCCCTCTGTGTATCCCATTACCCATTCTGTACACATGACCTCTCTCTGTGTGTATCCTATCACTCATTCTGTAACCTGACCTCCACCTCTGTGTAACCTATTACTCATTCTGTACGCCTGACCTCTCCCTGTGTATATCCTTTACAATGTTTTTCCACCTCTCCTTCTTTGTAGCACAACGTTTTCGGAGAAGAGTCTCTCGCAAAGGGAGGTAGGGTCTATTGTCGGCGGCGTCATCGTCTTCCTGGTCATCGCCGGTGGTGTCGTAGCCTGCTGCTTCTGCAAGCCGACGTGTCTGCAGGAGAAGGTCACACCCGAGGTGCATCGGAACCATGTCTCTGATCAACACAGTAAGACTTTACGCACCACACCAGATTCCTCCAAGTCTGCTGAGGTGTGTCAGCACCGTACACGATCAACGGGTTTCAACATAAGGCTAGGCAGACAATTAGGACCTGCATAACATCGGACTTTCCTTTCCTACAGCTGATATACATGAAATATTGTCCAAAGCTGCATTACACTAAAGTTACTCACACATTCTTTCGAATGTTCCTTAGAAAACTATTTTTTCATCGCATGATTTCATGACAGAATGACTCTTTATAGACATATATTATAGACAAATGTATTTATGAACAGATTTGACAACACTTAACCCTGGCTACAACATGGGCGTCGTGAATCCAGCCTTACACCAATCCATACCCATGTCATATCCACCAAACACACTACCTGGCAATCAATGGGCCGTATAGAGGGGACTGCTCGTCATTCCGGACACCTCTATGTCGTACCTAACAGCTTCACTTGGAACCCATTGACCGTTTAGCGAGGACTGCTTGTCATACATCTATGTCGTACCCATTACCCGTGTATCTCCCTTTATGACGTCATCTGACATACTTGTGTATTTTATCAACAGGAACTGTCCACCCCAACAGTCCTCTGAACTGGGACTGGCAAATGAATGAACTGTGGCAATGTGGGGTCTTGTTAGTCAGGGGTTTATAATGCACAACAGTGTTCACCTTCTGGCATTCACAAGACTTGCACGGAATCTGTAATGCAGAGGTATAGGTAATGGGGGTTCTGCCGCAACCCCACTGGAGCCAGATTTATATACCTATACTGCTACTACAGATGGAATTTATTTTTTATGCAAAAATGATGATGCGATTTAACGATCGTCATGAGATTAAACTAAATTGTAATGAAAATATTCTCTATTATTTTTACTCATACGCATACCAATATTTTGAACAAAATGATATTCAACATGTTTACTAAGTTCTTCGTTCATTTTACTAGTAACCAGACTATATACTCTTTTTAGAAATTGGAAGAAACAATTGATGACCGTATTTGGCTGGTTTAACATTCTTGATATAATATATACCTTGTGGTAATTCTCGCCATTTGATTGGCTTGTAGTTCTTCATTATTCTATACTTATGTAACCATTCGTCTAAATTATGGCGGTGTGATCAAGCAATCTATTTTTAATCTCCAACCAGTTCTTTCTTTTTGGCACGGAATAATTGACGCGCTTGTTGTCTCCCCTGTTCTATGAACTTTTTTTCTCGTCTTTGCTAATGCCACTGGTCTTACGATAATTGGATCGAATCTCATGCTTCATTAAGTTGTATTTGGTTAGTTCTGACAGCACTAAACGAAACTCCTCCTCGAATATCTTACAATCAGCCATTGCTGTTGAAATATGGTCCTCAATGCTCCTCAATTCAACTTTGCTTCGGCGAGTATCCGAATATTATCTTGTTTTAATGCTTTCTTTTGCAACTTAAGAGAAATAAATTTTATCGCTATTCCTGCCAGTACTGAGACTCCGGCGGCTACTTCCATACCAAGTACGATAGGCGCGGCGATTATAGTTGATAATAAACCAACACCGGCTACACCGAGTCCCATGCCAGCTGTTACAAGCGCAGTGTCAACTCCGTCGAGGGCATTCACAGCTCTGCGATACTTTTTATACAATCCAAGTCTCATCTCCCTCTCCTTCCCTATTCGATGTTTTATGTCATTTATTTGATGTAATCAAAATCCATCAACAGTATCCATCTTTTTAAATGCTTCATCAAGCACCAGATATAAACCATAGTGTATATTATTATATCATATAAAAGCCGTTAATTGGTCTCGCTTCAATGTTTTGAGAGTATACATCAGCCTTATTAAATCTATATTATACGGCATAAATATCTTAGTAAGAGAAATGCTGTCACTTTTTTTAACTTGGACCCCCTCAAGGGTTGCAACGGGTGATACTCCCATAATCATAATACTGCAACGTCGACGCTCGTGTTGCTTTAGCCATTTAATTGATAGACCTGGTAATATTTCGAAGGTATCTACCGGTGCATCTCCAAACAAGACTTCAATAATAATTGTAGAAAGAGCAGGTATAGCATTCAAGTTCTGTTTTATATTATTGAATTCAGTAACCAAATTTAAACTAACATTTTTTACTGCTGGACGACTCAATAACATATATCCTGGGTTTTCTGGCAGGGGAGAGACTAACACACTTTTTCGTTTTGATGGGATATAAGCCCCGAGTAGGATCCCACTATTTATTATTTAAGTTAAATTATGTGCCTTACCCATTATCACATACGGTGGGGTAATGACGATATACAGTAGCCACTCGATTCTTGCTTCGACCATAATCCATTTATTATCATCATTGCGAGTAAGATTGTATGAAGTGTTTTTATTGAGTCTACTAACGTCGACATCGCTTAAATCTCCTAGATTACCTGTGAATGTAACTTCTTTCGGCTTGTATACATTATCTTGTAAGTGTAAAGCATATAACTTGGCATTGGTACAGGGTTTACAGGGTCTCCAAGATCGGAAAGCGCACCACATGATCGAGCATGGAATTCAACAAATAATCTGTACGATAAGAGGGCCTTCGAACGTATTTGTAATGAATTTAATGTTTCTACAAGTAAAGATTGGCATATTAAAGGAATTGACCATGGTTTGGGCATTCCTTGCACAGGGAAAATAACCGTCAAAGATGAAAGCGATGATTTATTTAAAGAAGTTAACAAAGGTCCATAATGCGTTTAAGTTGTTGCATACAAGCAAACATTACATAAGAATGTATGATTTTTTTTCTAAAAACCCATCATTTGTGTGAAGACTGGGAACTTTCGAATAATGATTGGAAAGGTGATATTATAAGTTATAAGAGTTAATTTATATTGTTACAAAATTTGTACAACTGAACAATGCCGCAAATGCTTGGAATTAATTTCTTAATGATAAAACAGAAAATAATTTTACTAACCCAGGAGTTGCAAGAGTTAATGAATCAATAAGAACTTATGTATGGGCAATTCTTGGTGCACAATCGCAAACACGAACGGGAATAATTGGTTCTGGGACGGCGCTCGATGCGCAAAAACAGTTTGTCGCAAATGTAGATGATGCTATTAATTCACCAGTTGACATACCATCTTCTATAAAGCGTTATCAAGATGTATTACAGTACGGTCAATCCAAAGCAGACTACCTTTATGCGCCAGGACTATACATGTCTCCGAGTAATATGGAACTTAAGATCGGTCAAGTGATTGGTTATAATAATATAATTGTTATTGCTTCCCATCAACTAAGACCAGGTATAAATTCAGATATTAATACCGAATTAATAACGCAAACAAACACAGGCGAAACTTGAATAGTCAAGCCACAGACACCACAACAGCCATCTACTGACGCATCTACTGACGCACAACCACATATTACCGCTAAAAATCAACAACATATCGATGAAAAAACAGCGCTTATAGTAGGTGGAGTCTAGGCTGGTTTACTCATGATTTGGTTAAATAGTTCTTAATGAACAGATTTGGATAAATAGTCTTGAACGGATAAGTACAACAGCACTGCAATTGCTACAATCAGTGCCCACAAGATTTGACTATGCCAAGTGATGGCTAATACAAGAGCCAGGAAACAATACTCCCTATTATACCGGGAAGTGCAGACGCGGATTTCCCAGCGAGTTTTCCCAGTGCTTCTCCTGATGCTTTTAAATGCTTTTTTACCCACTCTTTTACACCATTTTGATCACGAGGTGGTTTGCCACCTCCTGTATCACCACCACCGGTTAACGTGAGAGTCAAAGTAGCTATAATAAATCCCAACGCAGTTAAAATACCGGGAATGGTTATCCCCTGTTCTCTGAACAATGTTTTAATTTTAGCGGCCAGTGTAGTATCATTGTTGAGGACTTGATCAATAGTTTCTCAAATTCGAATTATTTGTGAACGAAGTGCCTTTTTATTACTAGAAGCTGCTTCGAGGCGGGCTGATCTTACGTCTTCTAAGTTACGCAATTTTTCTGCAAGGCGACGTCCACTGAATTCATCGCCCGCCTGTTCAAATTTTGTTTTCTCATAAGCTATATGCTTGTTGAGTTCAGATAGCCTGGCTATATTATTAATGAATTCTCCCCGCATTGCTTGCATTGCCTTGTCAAGACCTTGTAATTCCCTAATACTGTACTCCGAGTATGGTGATACCTGTAATGTGGAATTATCGTAGTAGGTATCCAAGATTTCTCTGAGGCCAGCTTCAAGCTTTCTTCCAAATTATCTTTATCTATAGTACCGAGTTCAGTACGCACAGTCTGAAGAACCTTAGTAGTCTTCGGAGAAAGTTTTTCTCGTGAGTAGTCTACAAAACCTTATTCATTACAAACAATGTTGATGCCATGTTTACTGGTTAATGTAGACAAAGCTAGGGGCTTATGAGTACAAGAATTCATAAGATCAATATCCACGCAGTCGCAATATTCCTTTACTATCTATCGTAAACTTTGAATAGTCACTACCTATTGGAGTTTCTTTTAAGGCATCGTATTTATCATTAACGGCTGGTTTCAAAAGTTCATCGTTAAGATTCATAAAGCTGGTTTCATCAGTACCCTCTTCAATTGTACTCAGATTATCAAAGTTATCTAGATTAAAATCATCCATTTTTATATTAAACATAAGGTTACATAATTTCAATATAACAATGTCTCCGCAATACGGACGCAAGTTAAACCCACAACGTAGACTTCGGGATCCATTAGGGGTCAAAGCAATTCGCCAGTCTGTAACTATATCTAATACCCCGAGTACCATTGATCAGGATCAAACGCTTCTGGTTCACTTTCCTAATCTCGGCGCTCACGATGCGTTAGTTCCAGGAACTGCCCGACTATCATTTACAATTAGTTTGACTTCTGGCGACGCTAGCACAGAGCTTGTTCAGAACATAGGTCGTGCGATTGTTAAGAAAATCGCAATTAAAATTAGCGGTAATGAGGTTTTGAGTATTGACGACAGCAATGTATATTTCTGTTACATGGATCTCTGGAGAACAGCTAAAGAACGGGAAAACTAACAGTACCAAGGTATTTGTAATCAGAACACATTGAGACTGCGTGTAGGTGCTGATAGCGGTGATAATACAGTCCTAGGAGATAAGGCTGTTGATGATGCATTAGGTTACCTATTCTATATTTCACTAGACTTTGAATTACTAGATAGTCACATGCCCTTCTATCAGGCATCCCTAGGTGATAGGTTAGAATACGAACTCACTTTTAATGACTACAGCAGAGTAATCAAAGCCGCTGAAGATGGTACTAGCTATTCTATTGACACTATCTCACTGGAGTATGATATGATAACAGATCCTGAATTAGCCAGACAAATTCGTGACCAGTATACCGGAAGTTTAGCCATTTTGTACGATCACATGCTTCAACACCGAAAGATCACCGGGAACAAAAGAGATACGACGTGGAATATCAATCTAAACGTCCCAGCAAGATCGTTGAAGGGTATTTTAATGTTGTTTGAGGACCCCTCTTAAGCATTTGCAAGAGATACCGAGAAGTTCTACAATCCCAAGATTACAAAAGTAGAACTGACTATCGAGGGCGTGCCTAATCAACTACATAGTCAAGGCATGCGAGCATATCAACAGTGGGATGAGATTAAAAAACTCCCTTCCATAAAACAAAGCCTAGTAGTTCTGTCAGATCTGTCTCTCGGGAATGTGTCGATGGCTGAATTCCTTACC